TCGCAGGCTTAATCCACAGGAACAGAAGTACTCCGTTGGGGAACTGGAAGCCCTTGCATGCTTGTGGGCATGCGAACACTGGAGAGTCTACCTTTGGGGCCGTCCATTCACTCTGCGCACCGACCAGCAGGCTCTGACTACGCTCCTAAGTACAAAGGGAGTAGGTCGCCGTCCCTTCCGAATAGCAAGGTTGCACGCAAGACTACTGGCATACAACTTCACAATTGAATTCCAAAAGGGTGACAAGAATACGGTTGCTGACGCTCTTTTAAGGATGCCTCTCCCAGTTCAAGTGGAGGAGGAAGAGACTGGGGAGACCATTTGTGTGGTCTCACCATGCGTTACCCATGGGGAATTTGTCGCTGAAACAATGCAAGACCAGCTGCTGCAACAGGTCATGAAGTGGGTGACTTCGACATGGCCTGCAGTGAAGACATTGCCTGCCAATGCAGTTCCATTCTACAGGGTGCGGACTGAGCTCTCAGTCGTTGGAGACCTCCTACTTCGTGGAGACAAGTTCGTCGCACCTTCATCTCTCGTAGGACAGCTACTTGACGCAGCCCACGAGTTTCACCCAGGCATAACAAGGACAAAACAGCGACTACAGGAGCATACTGAGTGGCCTGCATATGTGCAAACAAGTAGAACAGTTGATTGCATCCTGTGGTGTATGCCAGATCAGTTGAACAAGTCTGCAAAACCAGTGACACCATGCAGCAAGCTGCATCCCGGCCCATAAATAGGAATTGTATTGTGTGTCCTTTGAAACGTTGTCGCAGATTGTCGTCGCGATTACTGATGGTGATTACTTCAGCAAGTGGCCAGAAGTTTGCTTCGCTTGCGAGGGTGACTGCTACCACAGTTCTTTTCTTCCTACGAAGTATTTTTCGCAGGGAAAGATACCCAGAGGAATTGGTGAGTGACCATGGTACCTCAGTTTACAGCTTGCGAGTTCGCCAGTTTTCTCAAGGAATGCAGCATCAACCCATACGTATTTCGGCAGCCCAGTCTACCACCCGCAATCGAGAACGGTCCAGTGGAAGCTTCAACTGGAGTGCTCAAGAGTATGTTAAGGTCCGCACGCCTGATGTGAACGTCAGGTCTTTCAAGGAAGCCACTCACCAATCTCTACGAATACCGTTTCACGCCGCACGCCACTACAAGGAGTGAAGACCTTCCGTTCTCCTGCACCGGCAGCCATTCCCAGAACTAAACTGGATCTACTAGCAGCGCCAGGTAACCAGTTTTTTCAAGAACCACATTGCAGCAATGGAGGCCGTCCTCAGCAGGGTAAAGCAAAGACAAGCCAAGCAAGTAAGACCTACACGACGTCGACTAAGCTGCAAGCAGTCTCCGTTAACAACAGGTCAACCGGTACAAATCAGGCTGCCAGATCATGAGTCTAAGGGGGCTGTGAGTTACTCAAGCCTGTTCATAATCACTGATCAATGTGGCCAAGACACAAACTAAGTGATGGTCGCACCTGGAATCGAAATTGGCTAGTACCTTGCCCTCGGCCTGCTACTCTTGTAGAATCTTCCTGTTGTGACTCTCCAAACGATTCCGATGATGCACCCCAGCCGTTAAACCTTGGAGCCTCAGTTTCAAGGGACCTTCCAGAACTGAGGCGGTCAACGAGGCTGAGAAGACGACCGTCGTGGTTAAAAGACTATGAACGACATTGAGTGCTACGTAGTGTCTACTTATTGTTACTCTTTCTAAGTGATTGTTCAAGTTTTTGAGGGGAGGGAGAATGTTGTATTCAGCAGGTGTGTTATCATCTGATAGCCCTAGGCATGCGCAGATGCACGCGCCTTATCATGTCAGCTAACATCTGGGTATATTAACCATCACGGACTAAAAATAAACAGAGTTGTTTGAAGTACTGGGTCGGTGTGGTTACTTCGCGACCCTGCGGCTCCCCGAGGTAGCTCGGCAGAGCATGGCGGCGGATTCCACATCGTGCTTTTTCCAATAACCAGAGGTCGAAGTTTTTTCAATCCGTCTAAATTAGGTGCCAACAGCATGGACACACAAGCTTTGTTTGCCTTGCTGCCACAAGTCTTGTTGCCACGACACTGTCTTGTTTGGCAACATTTGCCAAAATAGAGCAGTTTCATCCACATTGAAGATATTTTGGGCTTGATATCTTGCTGCAGTATCTCGCCACTTTTACCTCAAGACATTTGTCCATGCTGTCCAGGTCCGGTGCTCTGCTTTTACCTAACTGCTTTGCCAACGATGTCGTGCCATTCTTTGAACCGTGGGAGCCAGCCTGAACCGCCTTAGAAATTGTTCCTGCCAAGCAGGAAAGCAAGGCCCTTGGCTTTCTCCTCGATAATAGGGCCGGACACCAGGATGTTTCGCGACCAAACGTCCACAAACAATTTGTAAATGGCCGCTTCAACATTTTCGTACACATCAGTGCGCACACAATGGGCACCACGGGCACCTGGCCTTTTGTCCGACTTGGCCCCGACGTCTGCCTTGTTCTTCAAGATAGTACTCAAGGTGCTCCTTGGAATTTCGTTAGCGGCGGTGACGTTGGACTTATTTTCACCGCGCTCGACCCAATTTGCGATTTCGAGTTTCGTGGCGAACGGCAAATTCTGCCTCTTTGCGCATGCCATGACAACAGCACACGAATAAAGCTAACAGAGCACCAACAGGCAACACCGCCAGCACGGACCATGCTAAATGAGAACTCGAGAAAAACAAGCAGCAGCAGGCACACTAGCATAAAAAAGAAAAAAAATGGCGCTCACTTCTACAGCCTCTGCGCCTCGGAAAAAGCACAACGGCCTCTGACTAAGCGCGCCAGGAGCGGGCCAGGATCATTTCTTGCAGGGGGGTGTTCGCCCATGCACAACCAAGTCTAAACCACTTTTTCTAGGGCGGCGCCGGCAGTTTTTTTTTTTTTTTTTTATTCAGATACCCTAAAGGCCCCGAAGGGCATGGGGGGAGAACAATGTGTTGAGTACATTTCAATTCAAGAGCAAACACAGTCAAGAGCGGGCATGTAACAAAAAACGGTAGAAAAGCAAACAAACAAACAAAAATAAATGGAAAAGAAATACAAGGCAAGCGCACATAGTACATGGTTCATGGCTCTGATAATAAAAATCGCTTCAAGTGGCTTACAAACAAATCGTGATTATGAATTGTGGCAATATCTTCTGGTAATCGATTCCAATGAAAGATGGCCAAGAACAACGGGGATTGACGAAGAAGATTAGTACGGGCAAACAAGGGGAGGACTTTGAAAGGGTGATCTAGACGCGGAAAAATGCGATGGGCAGGTTTGATATGCGATGTAGCAAATGACGCACTATGATAGAGCCGGTGGAAGTGACATAGTAATGCTAGTATTCTTCGTTTTTCCAGGGAGGGCAGCTGTAGAGATTCTTTAATGGCAGTTATGCTAGATGTGCGGGAACAGTTCTTAGTAATAAGACGTGGTGCTTTATTTTGCAAGGCCTCCAGTCTGTTTGTTAAGTATGCCTGGTTTGGTTTCCAAATAATAGACGTATAGTCGAGTTTCCCCACCACTGCAAGGAAAAGCCAACTTGCTGGGGCACTTTTGAGGCAATATAACAGTAAGTTTTGCTATTATTCGCAATGTAAATTTACCGTGTTTAGAAATTGTTAGATATACGAGATAATTTGATATAAACGGGTTCGATGTAGTCGGGCTTGACTGTACGTTCAGCAACAAGACAAATTGCACTTATTTTCAGAGACAGGTGATGATTGAGCATGGCAAGTTTCCAGAATTTCTTTTGCCGCAATGGCCTAAGTATATGAGAAATCACACTGAAATCTCCAACACTACAGTGATAGCCCTCAAGCTGTGATGCAATTTTTTTTTTTAAAAACACATTTACAGTCGCCGACCGATTTTTCGGACCTGGCGGGGACCGAAAAAAAGTACGAAAAATCGAACAGTCCGAAAAATTCGTTTTCGCCAAAAATTTGAAGTTTATTGCATCAGGCAGGTTTAAAAAAGTCCTTGATGCTGCCTTGCCTCAAACTACGCTTTAAGGCAATTTGGTTTGCCCGTATTTGCGCCAAGGTGACATCGTCGCCGTAAACGCTCGACAAAATTGTCACCGCATTGGCGATCTCCGCCGCTGACCGCCATCCGGCGTCGACCGTCATCTGACGACATCTAGCTGCGAACGTCCACTCTCTATTAGCTTGATTATGGCAGCTTTCTTCTCCATCGTCAGGGTCGTATACTTCCCACGCTTCTTCACACCACCTGGCTCCCGCAATGGCACAGATAGCGGAGCCATGGCACCGAGAACACAAAATTCGATGCCGCAGATAGCCGCTGCGAAGCACACAACGTCTCGACGCTGCGCGACACAACACGTGCAGAATGGCGACTGAAAAAAGCTGCAACGACAATAAAAGAATCCTTCTTTCGCCTCCTCCCCGTGCGATGTGATGACGATAGTGCTGACCGAAGACGAAAAAACGGCATCCATCACCGCGTCTTTTAAAAAGCAAACACGGCCTCCGAAACTTAAAATATGGCGTGCGCATTCCAATCTCGGAGGCAGGAAAGGCATTTGAAGACCAAGCTCAGCCAAGCCGACGGAAAATCCAACATGGCGGCATTCACAATGGCTTGTGGCGTGGCACAAAACGAGCGATTTAGTCCGAAAAATCGAACTTTCAGGGGCAAATTCGCCCGAAAAATCGGTCGAAACAATGCATTAGCTCTATGGGATCCCTGACGGTGCATTTATGAAGTCCGGAATATCCAACAAGTCCGAATTTTTGGAGTCCGGAAAATCGGTCGGCGACTGTAGTCTCTTTTACCTCTTACAAGTAATCAACTTTTTACAACAGAGTCGATGACAGTGCAGCTTTACACAATTTATAAGTCAAATCACAATGCTCTCTAACATCTCTTGAAGTAAGCACAAAACATGCAACAATTTTCGGAAGCAGTGTCAGAGTGAGTACACTGAAGAAAAGAGTACAAGCCTTGCCTGGACTATCCTTTGAATGTTGTAAAGAAGTACATCACTATCCATGTGAGAGCCCAACTGTGGAGCTGAAGGCAGCTGGGACTTCACTGCATCGAGCTGCGAAGTTTGGTTCAGTTGAAAGAAAAAAGAACGATCTAATTACAGCAGGAAAAATATAAACGAACACTTTCCAAAGAAGCCACACGAAAGTTGAAGGGATCATGTACTGCAGTTAAGCACACTATGGCGTACAGCATAAACAAAAAACAATGAATACTTTAGCCACCTAATAAGAAATGGTCTTTTTAACTCTTTTGTTACCACACGAGAATGGTTGTTTTTCATATGTCTCAGGAAGATCATCTTTGCCAGTTTAAAAAGTCTAGCACGCATTGCAGCATACCAAACATTGCAGAATGAAATGCTTTTTTCAAAAAATATAGGTAGTAAAGCAACAAAAATATTTTAGAATGAATAAAAATGTGAAAAGTGTAAACTCTTTCATCACCAGCTGGTAAACAGTGTTATAAAAAACACTATACAGTGAAATCTCAGAAGAACGAACCCAACATTAACGAACTTTTCAGATTAACGAACTTTTAGAAAGTCTCGCACAGACTGCTAATAGTTTCAATGTAAAATTATTTCACTACTACGTACTTAAGAATACCGAAAGAGAGAGAGAGAGAGAAAACTTTATTTGCGCGTAACGCGGAGCATTCCAAATGGTCGGGCCCCTATTCCAGGGCTCGCTGGCCCTAGCCATCATCTCTACCCGTTGGATCAGCCAATGCTGATAAGCAATGGACGAGCTAGACAGCAGTGCCTCCCATTGTTCCTCTGTGTTTTTCATGTTGTGGTGTTCTTTATTGTGATGTGTACACTCCCACGTGATGTGAAACAGAGTTGGTGTGGCCCCACACCATGGACATATATCTCTGTATACCAAACTTTTCAGAATAATGAGCGTTAATTTAGTTCTGCATTATATTAACAATGCCTCAGTACTACGAACTCATGTTCTGAAATTCGTTGCGACCACTGGAGCGGTACGCAAACAGATGACAAAGCACACGGACGCCTTGCTTCTCGAAAGACTCTCGACGGTGCGAAGAAAAAAAAAGGGCGGCTTTTTTTTCTTTCTTTTTATTGAAACGCGACGCTGCAGGTTTACAAAGGCAGAGGTGTGGGCAACAAGGGAGGGCAAGGTCAGCGAGGCAGAGTGAGAGTTGCGGAGCAAGAAGCATGGGTGCGAAAAACCCGAGACAGCGAGGGAGCAAAAAACAAAACACAAGGAGTTTTCTTTTTTAGCACTTTTTTTTCGAAAGAGGCGGTGACAGCAACGACCCTTAGGGTTCTTTTTTTTTTTTTTTTTTTGTCGCTTCTACATGTGCTCCAGGAGATGACGATAGTTATAGCGCGAGAACAGAACGACAAGGAGACAAGAAGGAAATAAGCGCTTTGTCGTCGTACTGTTCTCGCGCTTAACTATCGTCATGTCATACCAACTAGCCCAAACTGCCACACTTCTAAGTGCTCTAGGAGGCCTTGTTTCCTTGTTTGTCAGTCGTGGTCATGTCTTTTCGGTGATTACTTATCTTGTCTGTAAAGCAAATCGGCAATCGCGCTGCGGTACTACTACAAATGAGTTCATCTCTGCTTGTGACGAAGAAGCGCAAGCAGTTTTCACTAAGCGAGAAAGTAAAGTGGATATTCTTCAGACACTGGAAGGCAAAAAGCAGGCTGTTGCGACCAATGAACCAAATTTCACCACAGAAATGTGGATGAGCTGGAGGCCTTCGCGATGCAAAATTTGTGCAGTACGAGTAAAAAAAAAAAAAAAACAGACTTCTTTAAACTAAATGTGCACTTTTTGGTATTCACTTGTGCATTTGTTTTTTCTCGTGAAAAATTAGTTTAAGGACCTACAGTTGTAAAGGTAAGTCGTTTTGGTCGGTGAAAATTAAGTATTTATGGTTAATGCATGGGCTTTCACTATAACGACTTTTCAAAATAACGAATGAATTGCCGCGGCCCCCTGAAGTTCATTATACAGAGATTTCACTGTATATGCAAAAATATTCAAAACAAAAATTTCAGAATATACATTTTGTAGATAAATGACCCAGAAACAGTATAAAAATAATTGAAGTTGTACAAAATGTTTCTCTTCACATAAACAAAGAAATCAGAACCGAGGTGCTGCTTCATTGCTCATGCCATGCAATGAAGCATTGCATGGTTTTTAGCGAGACACGAGTGTGCTCGTACACTCTTCTCAGTAAATTTTCGTTGCCTTGCAATAAGAGTCTCTAAGTATTCCAATACAGTTGGATACCCATGACGTGAATTATCCCTCTGTAAATGAGATGTCCAATGAACTTCGCTATTTCATCTAGGGTCACCGTTTTCAATGAGCCACTTTACTCCGCATAGGTTGGCGTTCCAATATATGCATCCAAGCACATTTCTTTACATCTTTGTGCATATCGTAATAAAAAAAGAATATTCCGCGCAGTTCTAAAATGTTTCGCACTGCTCTGTAGTCAGAGCCACAATGTGCTCCGTGGACCTCCTAGCCGTTAGGATTGATATGTGGGGTTTAACGTCCCAAAACCACCATATGATTATGAGAGACGCCGTAGTGGAGGGCTCCGGAAATATCGACCACCTGCGGTTCTTTAACGTGCACCCAAATCTGAGCACACGGGCCTACAACATTTCCGCCTCCATCGGAAATGCAGCCGCCGCAGCCGGGATTCGAACCCGCGACCTGCGGGTCAGCAGCCGATCCTTGCCGTTAGGAGAAGATCTGCAGCCAGCACCACCACACTGCGACCGAGTGAAGTGTGGACCATGCACGTAACCTGAGTAACTACATGATTATGCACAAAGGTCAGAAGCTATATGCACTTGCGGCGGAGGGATAACTTGAAGATGTAAACAAAACAAACCAATGAACGGCTACGGATGTCCCAGGCTGACACAAAACATAGTCGCCATAAAACTTGAAGCTGAGGTGCTGTCATCCATGACATCTCAGCTCGTTCTCACTCAATTCAGGAAGGCTCGCAAGACAGTTTCAAGCAGCGCATGTGTTTTGCAGCGCTGATGCACACCCATGCACATGTGAGAACCGCGTAATAGGAGCGACTAGTGACACTAGATGTGGGCCTGTGTCTGATATATTGATACAAGCAAAACCAAAACGGCTGGAAACTGGCTGTGAGAGCCATTTGCACACTTTATATATGCAGCGGACCTTGGGAAATAATTTTTTTGGAGAATTAATTTTCCTTGACTTCTAGCAACACTCTATTGAATAGCTGGCATAAATTTCCGACAATTATTACAGCTCAACTCAGTCGAATCGCCAAGCTATCACATCAATTCGATGTCTGGCTTGCAAAGTTTCTTTTCATAACAGAACTTTGATGTTACTGTAGCGTAATCACGAGGGGCACACACTTATGTCAAGTTCGCACAACCTAGTGCGTTTTCCCAACTACACGCACATTGGTACGTGCAAAAGTCTAAAAAAGTTGCTATGTTGCCCAATGCGGCGAATTCAAAAAAATTCTGAAAGTTGAGTGGCTGAACTAACTACTAGAAAGTGCTGCGTGCACGAGAAAAAAATTTAACATGCCAAATTCAAGGACTGAAAAGCGTTGATCGCCGGATATCAATTTGAATAGGCGTGGTAACGAAAGAGTCAAAGGACCCTTAGCGAAACCTATAAGAAAAGCCATAAGAAGAAAAGATTTGTTGGCAACAGAAAAGTGGCATTCTCTGCTTTCGCCTCACCATGTGTCCACTGACATTTCTTCCATGCATTCTCCCATACCATAGCTCAGAAACTGTGTCCTGTTCAGGATATGAGGCCTGCCTTTCTTTTTTTTCTCTTCCTCTTTTTTTTTTTTTGTTCCGGGCGGGCATATAACTGAATGAATCACTCCAGCCTCATGTCACAATCAATGATATCATAAGCATTTGGCATTGTGTGAATGTTCCTCAGGTGTGCCTATCTCAGCTAGGAGGCAGGCTATTTGAAAAAAGTACAACAACGAATAGGCAGTCATTTCAATTTTCAATTGTTTTAAAAGCATAAATTCATACACCTTGCGTATATAAGCCCAACTGTCTGTACATTGTCTACATACCCTTCTCATATGTCCAACTATATATTAAAAAATAACACCTTCCTCCCGACAAAAAAGTTCTTACTAGTCTGCTGAAACTGATGTCACTCATTTCATCATGCGCTTTCGAAGTGCACAGTTATTTCCATGTTAGTCTGCCACACGAGTGAAGGCCAAAAGATGTATAGCATACCGCATAGTACTTTACTTTTCAGGCCATTTTTTGTCATGATTGCTAATTATTACATTAGGATGATCCAAGTACTCAAGCTGTTGGATTATTGACAAGTAAGAACTTGGTTTTCAATAAAGGTAACAAGTATAGTTTCAAGCAACAGGTCACACAAAGAGGTTTTTTTTTTTCCTATATGACAAAGAAGAGCATGTCCTTGCAGTCTAACCTTTCCAAGGATTGTGTCCACCTTGTCAGATAGCTTGGAAATATCCAGTCGGACTTCTGTGTTCTGTGAGCGTGTCTCTGATAGCAGCAAAGGTAACTGCATGTCAACTGCTACACTTGTGGCTGTTGGCACCGGAGCAGCAGGGTAGGAGTGGGCTCCTGGTGGCAGGAGGAGGCCCTGTTGCTGGTAAGGGTAGGCAGCCAGTGTACTCTGCGATGCACAAGCAAGAAAGGAAGAGAAGAAAGGCTGTACACTTAAACGTTGATGTAACAAACTTCAATATAACAGCTTTCCCTTCCCTCTCTCGAGCACTGGGAAGTCATGTTGATCAGCTCAGACCCAATCATCCAAACAAGGGTTGAGGAGTGGGCCACACAGGTTGCCATCAACTTTGGGTTGATGGCCACCTAACATAAAATCATCCACAGTTGTCTTCTGACAAAATAGTTTTACCTTCCATGTATTCATTGAAATCAAACAAAGAGATGCAACACTGTCACTTACCAAGTCTGATGATCATCTGATGTTTCAGAACCGCATGCTGGTTCCTTGTTCACCGAGATCGACCAGACGTCTTCGTCAATTATGAAGCCAGTAGGTGATGCAACAAGCGTGCGTAGATAGCAAGCGTAGTCCCTGTTGTCCTACTCATTGTAGCTTGTGCTGACTGGGTGATTAGATATTTTAGAAGCCGGCGGGATGACGTGTTCTTTTCCTGTGGTGATGACAGCAGCCTTGATTGTTCTAGTCAATGGCGTGATTATGCTCATGCGCACGCTCAGTAATGGCCTTTGTCGTGCGATTGTCATTAGTGATGTCACGTTCGTGCGTTTTGAGGTGTCGGGAGAACTTTCACGTTTCGCTAAGGTACACTTGACGAAAATCAGTGCACGGTACCTTACACATGACTCCTGAAAATGACTCACTAGACAGCCTATCTTTTAGATTAACAAGCTGGTTTTGGAGCTTGTTGGTAGGGATGTGCGCAAATCATATTTTGAAAATACGCGTGAAAGAGCCTCACTGATTCCTTCAACATAAGGTATGGCCGCACATGTACAGGTTGGTTATCGTTGAGCTCTTTGAGCTTGGTTGGAGTCATGTACAAGATACCGTGCAGTGATTACCATCAAGTGTACTGGAACAGAAAAATTCTCCCGATGCCTCAAGGAGCAGAAACATGACATCACTAATAACAGTCACATAATAAATACCATTTCTGAGCATGCGCATGAACATAATCATGCCACTGACTGGGACAGTGTCGCTGTCATCGCCAAGCAAAAGAAAACACATTATCCCGCTGGCTCCTAGAATCTATAATCATCTAGTCAATGCCAGCTATAATGAATAGAACAACAGGGACTATGCCTGTTATCTACACACGCTCATTGCATCACCTACTGGCTCCATAATTGACGAAGACGTCTGGTCCAGCTCAGTGAACAAGAAACCCACATTCGGTTTCGAAACGTAAGATCATCATCAGGCTTGGTCAGTGACCGTGTTTCAACCCATTCTGACCAGAGGAACTTTTGTCGAACTCTTGACTACTAGTCAAACAAAGCTATCCTGGACCTTCTGAAGAATAAGATTAATTCCCAGCAAAAGTCATTAAAATTCAGAGGCACTTGCATTGCAAATGAATATGTGTGTGTAGGTTTGTACATGTGGATGTACTGCAGCAACAAGTTTTAAAGTAGCACTGACAGCCAAACTTTTGTCAGTGATTTTTTATGCCATAAAGCATAAGTTGGTGCCTAGTAATTATAGATAACACCAATAATTATTATCTGTGGCAAAGCCTTCGAACAGTGGGTCGTCCTCTCCAGCGCCTTCTAGTGGGTCGCCTTTTTCATGAGAAGAAGAGCAGCTCGTGCAGAGAGTCGGTCTCCGCATTGACTGTCGCTGTTATGAATCATCGCCGAGTGTCCGCCAATAAACGTCTTAACAGTTTGGTGGAGAGTGCTGTGCCCTTCAAACAACTTCGGTCCGCATTCGATGCCCTTAGAGCTGCGATCCCATACCGTGCCTTCTACCATGCACCAAGACGCCGCTCAGCAAACGCTTCCTCCTATGCCGATGCCATGTCCCAGTGTGCCCCGCATCCGCGACCCTCCTGTCTTCACAGGTGCGGATGGCACCGACGTCGAGGACTGGCTCGCCATGTACGAACGTGTGAGCCTCCCCAATCATTGGGACGAGGCAGGTAAACTCGGCAACCTGTTTTTCTATCTCGCGAGTGATGCCGGCATGTGGTACAGCAACCACACATCCGATTTCCCGACTTGGTCCGCTTTTAAAACCACTGCCGTCGGCGTGTTCGGCTGTCCTGCCGTTCGTAAGCTGCAAGCCGACCAGCGTTTACGTGAACGAGCACAGCATACCGGCAAATCCTTCACAAGTTACATCGAAGACATCCTTGACTAGTGCAAGAAAGTCGACTCGAACATGTCAGAGGCTGACAAAATCACGGATGTTTTAAAAGGCATCCCCGACGATGCCTTCACCATGCTACTGGCCAAGAACCCCCGCACTGTGGCAGAAGTCATTCCATTATGCCAAAGTTGCGAAGAGCTGCGGCGGCAGCACTTGATGACCCATCGACCGCCACCACGTGACGCTGATCTGTCGGCCTTGTCAGCAGTTCCTGACCACACAACCTTGCTTGTAGAAATCAAGTCGTTCGTGCGTGAGGAAGTTGCCCGCCAGGTCTCTTTACTGGCTTTTGCTTCCTCGCAACATGCTCAACAGCCATCAAGTACACTTCTACCTCCCCTCGGCCGAGCCATTCAGCAGAAAATCGCGGAGGTCGTTCCTGAATACCACCAGCCGCCTCTTGTACCTGCGCCACTCAGCTACGCCCAAGTTGTCGCCAGGCCGCCCCCCCCCCCCCCCCCCGCCAATTTCCTGGCCCCCTAAGTTACACTGAAACCATCGCCAGACCCCAGGCCTTCAAAGAAACTGTGTCGCCTATATACGCCGACGTCATACACATGCCCCAAGTGTCACCCACCATGCACTCATATCAGCAGCCGGCTCGCCCATCGCGTTCTACGACATGAATGAGACCCGCGAACCGATGACGCACTTCTGACAATCGCCCCATCTGCTTTCCTGTGGTTGCGTCGGTCACGTAGCATGCTATTGCAATTGTGTGCAGCAACTGCAGGTCGCCTCCAACTTTCCCAGCCAATCGAGCCACTCTTATGACCAACCGCCGCCTATGTCACCGTCGTCTCGCCCCGCTCCGTCAACTCGTCGTTCACCATCTCCACGACGTCGCTCACTGTCGCCGATGTGGACACATCTACTCGAGGGCGACCAGGAAAACTACTCACAGTCCACGAGGCAAGGGCTGCGATGCTGTCAAACTGCGGTATCCCTCAGGAAAGCCCATCGAACGTGATAGACGTGTTTGTGAATGGTGTCCGTGCATCTGCCCTTGTAGATACTGGAGCCGCCGTGTCCGTCATGGACGCAAAACTTAGCCTATTACTGCGCAAAGTGACTACGCCACTTTCCGGGCTCTCCCTCCGTACAGCCAGCGCCCAAAGCATTCACCCTACAGCGATGTGCACAGCCCGCCTCATGATTCAGGATGTGATGTATGCCGTCGAATTCATCATAATTCCTTCATGCTCTCACGATGTCATCCTATGATGGGATTTTCTCTCCCGCCACGACGCCGTCATTCATTGCGCACCAGCAGAAATAGAGCTCACACAATTCTCTTCTTTGACGCCGGCCGACAGTCCATCTGCTGCGAGCAAGTTACTCTTCAGAGACGACACGAAAGTGCCTGCAAACTTGTCAGCGGCGGTGTCGGTCTACTGACCAAGTCTTTCTGACACCGCTCCACTCCTCTCGCCATCTCATCATGTTTTCATCAGAAAAGGCTTGCTGGTTCCTTTCACGACCGTGCAAATCACTCACGGCAGCACCACTATTTTTGTTCTGAACTCATGCTCGTACAGCTTTGCGTTGGTGCGAGGGAAATGTCTCGGCAGCGTGGAACCCATCGAAGACGCACAAGTTATGGGTCAACCCGATGACATGCACTGCTCAAGTTCCAGTATGCTTAGTGCCGTTTCTACATCTGCTTCATAATCTGATGATGTATTTGGCCCCTCCATTCCCGACAACCTTACGCCAGGCCAGCGTTCCCAGCTTCTGGGCCTGTTGGAAGAATTCCGGTCTTCTTTTGATGTCGTCCAACCTTCTCTCGGCCGCACATCCACCATTACGCACCGCATCGACACAGGCGCACAGCCACCACTGCGGCAACGTTCATGTCGTGTATCTCCCACAGAATGCCATGTGATCAACAAGCAAGTCGACGACATGCTTTTCCGCGATGTTATTCGACCCTCTAGCAGCCCCTGGGCGCCTCCTGTCGGTCTCGTCGCGAAGAAGAACGGTTCTGTACGGTTCTGTGTGGACTACTAACGCCTCAACAAGATCACTCGTAAGGACGTGTACCCACTACCGTAGGTAGATGACGCGATTGACAGCCTGCAAGGAGCAGAATTCTTTTCATCCCTCGATTTGCGCTTAGGGTACTGGCAAGTACCTATGGCTGAGGACGCTCGATCGAAGACCACTTTTGTCACCCCCGACGGCTTGTTCGAATTCAATGTCATAGCGTTTGGGCTGTGCAATGCACCCGCCACCTTTGAGCGCATGATGGATACGGTTCTGCGTGACCTGAAATGGCACACGTGCCTGTGCTACCTCAAAGACGTCGTTTTCGCTCCGGACTTCTCGATGCATCTTCAACGCCTGCGGCATGTTTTAACGCGTCTGAGTGACGCCAGTCTGCAACTGAACCTAAAGAAGTGCTGATTTGCAGCTCGGCAGCTGACAATACTCGGCTACGTCGTGTCCAAGGACGAAATTCTCCCCGATTCAGCCAAGCTTCGGGCCGTGACCGAGTTCCCCAAGCCGACATCCGCCAAGGAACTGCGCAGTTTCGTAGGACTGTGTTCCTACTTTAGGCGCTTCATTCGAAACTTCGCGACTATCATATCGCAGCAGACGAAAATCCTCGGTAGTAACGGGCCTCACCATTCGTGGTCATCACAGTGCGATGCCACTTTCACAACGCTCTGTCGTTTGTTGACGTCGCCTCCCATACTCCGCCACTACGACCCAACGGCCCCTACAGAGGTACACACAGATGCCAGTGGTGTCGGCCTCGGCGCTGTCCT